ATATATATATCAATATTTGTCATTGTCATAAGCCGCACCAAGTGCTCCATGGTGGCTTTAATGCTCTCTGAAGTCCAATTGCTGACAATGAAAAGTTCAAATCGAAACATAAATGAGAAGAGCGACGGCAAGCAATAATTTTTGTTATTTTTCACTTTTCTTTATGTATATGTGTGCATACATAATGCTAATGATCTTTAAGCTGATGATAATCATGATGATGTGTGAGCGTGTCTGTGATTGCTGTAATGTCGCTAATGAGACGAACCAACTATAAATCGAGCATTTGAAGACTGAATGAAAAGTGATTTGTTGGCGCTGGTAATTAGCATCGAACCTGCAGCTGCAACACGTTGCACAGAGCTGGGCTTGCCCCTTGGCAATGGCGACGTGCCCCCTTTCGCTGTGTATGGCTAACCATGACCGCCGCCAATTACGGTAAGCCGCGACCATGTCCACGGCTCTGTTTGTTGATAAGCCACTTTCGAATGCACAGCGCACTTGGCTGTTGACTGTTTTGCTGCTGCTGTTGCTGTTGCTGGTGTTGCCGCTGTTGTCGCTGTTGCTGGCTGGCTGGCTGTTTGGCTTCGTCTGGCGCGGCAAGAAATTCAGTTGCGCCGTTGAGCTCAAAGAGAAAACAACACACGAATTACGCGCCAAGCGCCCAGCAGCTGTGAAAGTGTTGGCTGGTGGTCAAGTGGCCGAAGCGGCGATCGCAGATCGAAAGGAAATTTCGCAACAACAAAAGTTATATGCACTTTTACTTGTTGCCCGTCTTTACATCATCATCATCATTATCACCATCAATATCACCATTATTAGCATCATAAATAACTTACAATAAATCACTGTTGTCATGTATAAACACACGGTCAAATCAAAACTGTCCCAGGCACGCAGCACGCCACCTGTGTCCACTGCCACGCCTCAAAAGCAGGCGCACCATGGCCTGGGGGCGGGTAAGAAATTCTTCTCAAGCATACGCCACAAAATCGAGGATAATCTAACACCCAAGCTGAGYGGCAAACTCTACTACAAGGGCAGCAAGCACACACGCTCGATGAGCGCCCTCAGTCTGGTGGACAATGGCGGCTGTGTGGTTGGCAAGTATACGCCGAAGCCGATAGTGGCACCATCGGAGGCTCCGGAAAGTAGCCCATTGATGACGCTGAGCAGCAGCAGTGTGTGCAGCTTTGTGGACAGCGACGACGAGGGCCAGATGAGCCTGAGCCTGAATCTCACACAGCAATCGCTGGAGGACGAGATCTTTGCGGAGCTTGAGAAAGTCGCGCACGACGAGAGCAAACTGAACGAGGTGCTGCAGAGTTTCGATCAAATATTGCAGGAGTATCCGCCGGTGGAGGAGGAGCAAGGAGTGCAGTTCGAGCAAACGCTGCCGGTGCCGGTGGTGGTGGCGTTGCCGATGCCGCTGCCCCCACCGCCTGCTCAGTTCTGCGATCGACAGCTGCTGTCGAAATCGCACAGTACCCTGAGCATCGCCTCGAGCAGGAGACAAATCTATCAGACGCCCGAGTTGGCCAATTCGATGCTGTTGCGCCGCAGCGACTCCAGATCGAATCAGCGCTACAATTCGCTCTGCGACATTAGCCAGCTGAGTGGCAGTCGGATACCCATATCGAAGCACTCGAGCCTGCGCTGCCTGGAGAAGAGCAGCCAGGCCGGCAGCAAAGTGCAGCTGACGCCGCCCCAACCACAGAAGCAGCAACGTACCCGGTCCATGCTGACGCTGAACAGCCGCAGCTGCAGCAGAGCCAGCCAGGCGGCAGCCAAAGTGAAGCCACAGMCAATGCCTGTGTCTGTAATARCGCCCAAGCGAGCCAACTCGACGCTGGAGCGTCGCCAGTTGGCGGCCAAACCGCCGAGGCGGGCCAACTCAACGCTGAAAGCTGTGGCCAGCCGATCGCCCAATGCGCACACAGATGAGCTGCTGGTAAAGTGCCTGGCCAAGGGTCATGACCTGCTGCGTCAGGTGGAGAGCATCAGTGCTGGCAAACCGCGGCCCAGTCGCGGCGTTAACAAGGAGCACACACAGCTGATGCGGCACAAAAAGAAACAGCAGCTGCACTACGCCAACGAAGAGAAAGTGGGCAAGCCCAAGCTAGAATCGTGCAAGATAATACCGCCCAAGCTGGGCGAGACCTCGGACAAAAACCACGAACTGCTGGTCAAAGTGGTGCAACAGCCGCCGCCGCCGAAACCCATAAAAACTGTTGAACACAACTCGAACTGCGACTCGGACGACTCTGGCCACATAAGCAACACGGTTCTGTCATCCACGAGCAATTCGACTGGAAGTCTGTGCGAATGCGAGGGCGATGACGAAGACGTTGAGCCAGAGCCACCGCAGAGCTGCTGTAGGCCCAACAAAATTGCGCAGCTATTGCAAAAATTCGAGGCGAAGTCGCAGTGCCAGACGGACAGCGGGCATAATATGAATGCGATTACAACGACGACGACGAAGGTGGCGCAGGTGCGGGCGGTGCGCTGCATACAAACACAGGTGGAGATCTATCCCACCTATATGAAAGAGGTAACTATGCAGCTGCACTAGCCAGCGAGTCCCCAGCAATAATGGTGTCCTACCATATCTAAATTTAAATTATCTATTAGAACTATTTCTTAACTATTAACTGGAATAAATACTGTTTAAAAACAAAAACCTCTACCGCTTATCTTCTGTTCTCTATTCAACTTTAACACTTGGTTTCGGTTACTTTGTTGCCTTTGTTTTTAGTACTTTTCTTGTAGCTCGTCTCACCTCAATCCCCACCACCTCATCTCGATCGTAAAACCCGCATATACAAATACAAAATACACACAAACACACAGAAATACACACACCCATTTTCCCGGTTAGTCGCAATTTCACATTGGTTTACTTTCATTTTTGATCTACGTGCGCTGCATAATTAAAAATTTCGAAATAGTTTCTCGAAAAACGTCGCAAATTCAGAGACACATAGTTGACACACCTTGGCAAGGTGCGTCCGATTCCGAACCCAAGCCAAAGACATTTGGCTCACTAATTTGTAGTCGCAAGGGAAGTTCGCGACTTTGTCCCAGCTGCATTTGTTTATGAGCTCCGCTGCTGCCTAATGGAAATGACGCACATTTGTTTATTTACAATTTTCTATTTTGTGTTGGATTTGCATACCCTGAATCCATTGAAAATCTTTGAATGGGGGTATAATGCCTATTGGCTAATGTATGTAAGGGGAAGAAAGGAGACCGAAAGCTGGAAGTTGCCTGTTTGTCTATCTCTATTATTATTATTTAGTTTGAATGCATTAGCTTTTCGATATCTCCTCGATTTGCATAATATCAATGAGTATTCGATATTATTTTAATTTTATTTTTATTTTTTTCTTTAATTTACATACATAATAAATA